TTATTGATAGTTGACAGCTCTTTTTAATTTATTTATATTATTCACTCTTTGCCTCATTATTAAACTATGTACTAGTTAGGAAGTGATTTTGTTAATAAAGATTATCAATATATGTATTTAAGTTTAGACATTCTTTTTATTAAATTTAACCAGATAAGCATTTGTCAATGACTATAAAGGTCAATGGGTTAAAATTATCATTGTAAATTCAAATTTATAGTTTGAATATATCATTTTATCTAATAATTTCTAAAATATTTTTTTATTTCGAACTCGTTTTCTATTAGCCAATCAAATTTTTAACGTCATCAAAATATCTACAAAAATTAGCCAATTAGCGCTATGCCAGGTGACACCAACCCGGGTCAAATCACTATTTCTCTTGATTAAAAACTTATTAAGATGTAAGTAAGCCTTTGTTTGGACGCGAAGCCATTGTTTAGATGCGAAGCTATTATTTAGATGCAAAGCCATTATTTTTGTATAATTATTAATTAAAAGCAATTCTATATTTTAAATACAGAATTATAATTTTTGAATAGTCTTTGATTAAAAACTGTATCACTGTTTAGATACAAAGCCAATATTTTTGTATAATCCATGATTAAAGGCTATGCTATGTTTGAATGCGATGTTATCATAATTTTTAATTAGTATAAAATAAATTAAAGCCACATATGTAATAATAATATCCTGATCCGTTGGGAATTAGCGGAAACGAAGGTTCCGTTTATTATTATTCACATACGGTCCGGGTATTATTAATTAATCCTCCCGTGATCTTGAAATATTGATCAGGAGATTATAAATACTAATACAATAACTATAATTGAATATAAAAAAAACTAACTATAATCTAATATATAAGTATTAAATAAAATTAAATTAATTATTTTATATTTTTAAAAAGAATATTGTTAAATATCTACCTTCCATGATAGAGTCTAGACCATATTTCGCAAGCACGTCGACATTGTTTGTGGGGTTTGGGAACTTAACCGCTAAGCTATGGGACCCAAACCCTTGTATTAAATAGTAAATTGATATATATGGTCTAAACAATTTCGCAGGTTGATATATAGCTGGTTAATATGATCGACCATTTAGATCACAAGATCTTGTATAACAAAAATGAACGAAAATCAAGAAAAAAATTATAAATTTAAATATTTCGAAATTTTATTATGTAAATTAGTCTTGGGCTTCTAATTCAAAATTTTCAGCACTTAATTTTGCCTATATATATATGCCCTCTAACCAACAGGAGGTTACACGACTGATCCTTCAACATATAAAAAAATTATTTTACAACACCAGATCATTCCGCTAGTACATGTTATGATTATAATCCCACACCATTTTATTAAATAAAAATGGTGTGGGATTATAATCATAAAATGTACTAGCGAATGATCTGGAGTTGTAAAATAATTTTTTTATATGTTGAAGGATCAGTCGTGTAACATCGACGGTTCCTCTAATACTAGCTCGAACGCTATCCCTAACTAATAATAATTTTGATTTTTTTAAATATTAACTGCGATATCACAACCTGCTAAATTTAACAAAATCTTTTAAAAAAAATATAAATAAAAATTTTATATACCAAAAATAATACATGTAGTCCCGAATTAGCGCGCTTGGGCGTCTCAAATTAACGCGCATCCCCTTATTCTTTATATAACAAAAAAAAAACCAAAAAATGCTCCAAAACTAGGTTTAGTATTAATTAAACCTAACTTTCGGTTTTTAATAAAAGTTGTTCTTCAGGTCAAGACGTAGGTTTATTTAGTACTAAACCAAGTTTCGGAGCACTTTTAAATCTTGTCATAAATAAGAGATGGGAAATTCTATTTTCACCCGGGTTAAAGTCACCCGATAAACTATAATGTCATTTGTGTAACTAAAATTATTGGTTTAGTAAAATTTTGGGTGACTTTAACCCGGGTGAAAATAGAGTTCCCTATTTTTTTATTAATTTTGTTATTTTTTGTTGTTTTATTACCTTTCGTCAGTTTTGTCACTTTTTGTCAGCTTTGTCACTTTTTTCAGTTTTGTTATTTTAAACCTAGTTTCAACTTTTGTCAGTGACAAAGCCCTTAGGGTTTATCTAACAACATTAACTGTACTGCAATTCAAGCTATTCTAAAACCGAATTTGAATCTAGTAAGCATAAATTAATTGGCTTTGAAACTAATACATTTGATTCTAATTTATATAATAATGATAGAAGTTTTATATGTTTCAATCTTTATATAAGGTAGCTCTCACCAATATATAAAATGAGACAGTTTTTTTCTATACTCAATAATCATAACAAAGCAGTAATAGGTAAAAAATGTTCTAGAATATCTAAGTTAACAGAGAATAAACAATGTATTAATAATTATTTTTTTTTCTCACTTCACTGCACTTCTTAGAAAAGTTGGCAGGTCGTTTTGCTGGTTCGAAACTAAAACCAATATCGCGAAACCTTTGTGTCATTATTAGGAAATTTTCACCGGTGATTTTATTCTTTCTAATAATTCTTTTTCATCAAGCTTTAAGTTTTTCACGGACTGCAAATACACAATAAGTTTTCCCTTATCATATTCTTAAAGTTGAGGGATTGATTCAAAAAAGGGATTTTGGACAATCAGTTGATTGCTTACTGATTTCTTATCGAATAATATCCGAAAAACTTAAATCAGCAAATATTTATTCGAATATTCTTTGAATGATTAATATTATTCGAATAAGTATTATTTATTCAAATAACGTATAGATTTTGGATGCGGTGTAGCTAATAATGCATAATTACTATATGTGAGCCAGCCAATGACTGAAGTTTCACATGATGAATAATAAAAAATTCTTCGAATAAAATTTGGCTATTCGAATTATTCATTAGATAATTCTTTATTCGAATATTCGCCTATTTTGAATAAAATACAAATACGAAGCTTTAATCTTATCGTTATTTGGATATGTTGTGCGCATCTTTGCGTCCGACCTGAAGATTAAAAATTACGGTATAATTGATCATTTAATGATGGCCATCTGATAGTGACACCCCTAGCTCTCCCACAAAAATTGTTCACCCTCCTGTAATTTTGGTCACTCAAATTTCAGGATCAGGTGAAACTATTTTTTACAAAAAAAAAGAATAACTCTAAATTTTAATTAGGAAACCACCTTCTGCGGCCTAATTAAAATGTTCCTCGTGATGTTTTACTAATAAGCATTATATTGTTTAATCTAGCCCTAAATATAACACGGGTTTTCTTGGGTTTCATTTTACGCGTAACTTTTTTACTTAAAAAACAAAACACGTTTGTTTTGACACCTGATCTTAAATTTGATTGGTCAAAATTACTGGGGATGAACGTCAGCTATTTCTGTATTTAAGGGCTAGTATACGTAATGTCCTTGACCGATATAGCAATAAAATGGTCATTATATAAGAACGTCCGTGATGGGAAGTAGTTAAGGTAATGTTAGAGTAAGAAAGCTTTGAAAATTATTTTTATTATAACATAATATATACAAAATAACGAATTCGAGACATTTTGGATACTACAATCACGAAAAAAATTTGTTATATAATTCTACTTACAAAATAATGATAAAATTAATTGATAATTGTGAATCTTGCATTATTTTTCATTTGCGGAAATCTCAGAAATAACCTTTCCATACGTACATATTAGAATGTCAACAAAAGCGAATATTAAACCTTCTGACACCGATACAATTTGAAACATTGATCGTACAAAGACATTCAAGGAAAGACCTGCCTTATTTAACCAAACCTATAATCACCAATTATCTTTAGATGACCAAGAAAGAGAAATATGGTCAAAAATTAGATGTAGTTCATGCGCAAAAGGTATTTATTTTTCACAATTAGGCCGTTTTGAACTTGATTTTTCGTTTAACATTATCCCCCTCCGTCTCCTGAGATCCCTCCAAAAATTGATCAAATAGAAGTGACAGATTAATCGATATAATAGCCAGCGTAGCAGCCAGAATTTTCCGGCACACTATGTTGAATTTTTATGTTTGTTTAATTTCCCCCCTCCCCCCCTGTGTAAGCGAGAAAAAATAACGTTAAACGAAATTTTAATTTCAAACGCCCTTATTGGAAGATTTATTTGGTCATTTAATTCATCCAAAATAAAAATATATAAAGACACAAAATTTATATATATGATTTACAGGAAGAAGAACGATTTCAAATACAAAGTTTAAATATGTTGGTGGTTTTAGTACTACGCACATTGCAGAATGGATGGATGAAAAGATCAAAAATATAGACTTTATTAAGGGCATTCTCAAGCACCTCTCTAAGTGAATTAGATTAAGAATCTGATTGTCCAGTTTGATCAAACAAACCAATCAGATTCTTTGTAGATTCTTTGTAGAGTTCATTGAGGAAGATGCTTGAGAACACCCTAAATCAAATATTAAAAGAAAAGGTTTGCTACTGGTTGTATTGAAAAATGTGTCAGTAGATTCTATGAATGATGAGGTAAGTATAAACTATATATTAATTATCTTGGTGATATATTATTATTATTAACGATTATTTGTAAATAACAGACTTGATACTTTACTTGTGCACGAGTTTTTGGAATTTCACATTTTAAATCTTCAAATGATGCTTTTATTGTCATGAAATTATATGAGGAAAACGTACGATCACTAATCGTTCAAGATTTTTGGAGATTTCCTTGGTATAAAAGGTTTACATTTTTATTTTGTCTCAGTAAACAACTTACGATTCTTCGCTTTGAAAGAATCGTATATTGTGGTTTGTATTCAGGAAATTTACTTTGTGATGGCTAAATTTGTTATCGCAGACCTTGGATTTTCATAGTTTCTATGGGAAAGCGAGAGAGTACACTGTGTACGGTATTTTACCTTATATTGCACCAGAGGCATTGACAGGTGAACCCTTACACCTGCCACAGATATTTTATAGTTTCGCAATTATAATGTATAGGACGCTGACTGGTTTGGAATAGATCACACGATCAATATCTCGCGTTAGAAATTTGTCTAGGATTGTGTAGGTATTAATATTTAATATTTACTGGACCTCTTTGCTATAATATTAAGTTTCTTAATATTATAATTAGGACCAAAGATACTCCAGCAACATATGCTGGGTTAATAACAATGCAGGCATTCAAATACTACACATTTGGGTTTAAGAAATTTTGTGCTTATAAGGAATTATACTTATATAGAGGAAGTTTTATATGTTTTATATGTTGTCTTAAAAATTAGTGATTAAAAGTAAATGTGACTATATAGAAAGGGTTGACTGTAAATGTCATGAAGTTTTATTGAT